GCCTTACACAGTATCAATTCCTCGATCAGTATTTCAACCTCAGCTGGTGAAACACCGAGGACTATACAAACCTTCGCCCTTTCCCTGCGCCAGACATTGCAGAGTCGGCCTGTTAGTTTTCCTAGCAATATTCGGCATTTCATCGAGGTTTCCGTCTCGATGAAACCCGAGGCATTCAAATACCCTATCATTTCCATAGTCAAAATACACCGCACAGCAAACGCCGAGCCTCGATTAATGTAAATTCATACAGAGTGCTTTCCTGCACTTACCTTCCTACCATTCAGCAAGTTCGTCGTGCTCATGTTCAACAAGGAGATTCGTCAGAAACCCTTGGCTTTTTGCGTATCATGAGTTTTCGACTTTTGTGTCAAGCATCCTATGCTGAAATCATGGCAACGATACACGTAACCAGTTCCTCCATGATTATACCGTACTTTCAGGTGCATGCTGTTCTCCGGACACGTGATTCAACCCACTGACAAGTCTGAATGGTGTTCGACCACGGCAGCCTTTACCCGCCGAACCCATCATCTTCATTGAACGTTGCATGGAAACTACCTTGCTGGCATAGCACAGTCAACATTGTATAATCGTTTATTCAAACATGGAATTTACCTTGCCTCTTTCAAGTGTACGTATACTAGTCAATCCTCTCGCGACCTGCCCGGCCTTTTAAGAGAAATAAAAGAAAAGGTAAACCGCGTGGGTGGTGTTTGCCTTCGGAATACATGTAATTCCTGAATTGTCATCATCGACGAGTTGGATGTACGGGTCCCTTTACGTGCTGCCTGTAGTCGCGTACACACACAGGCGACCCTGGCTGCAACAGCTCTCGGTCTATTGATGTGTTACGCAACATACAAATTTTGCATTTGAATGGGTATGTCCATCACATACTCTTGGTCATGGATTGTCCCAATGTAATCGTATATCCCTAAATGTACGCAACAAACGTGGTCATGAGAAACTTACAGTGAAGATTGTCACCGGGTAAGTGTTTAAAAACTACTCTCTCTATGCAAGAAAGTGAAAAAACATATGTACTCGTCGTGTTTGATGTGGTCGCTATATTGCTCTTTGAAAAAAAGTGGTTCTTTAAATGAATGTAATTTTTACTCTGAGTCAGACTGAGAAGTCATTCAAACAGATGCGAACTTAATTCTGAATAGATGCCAACTTCATGCTGAATTAGAGTGGAAGACCGGACAAAAAGACTGGTCCCTCATAATGGCTCCGAGTCCTCAAAGAGCGTTCTTCACTCTCACGTTTACAGAAGGTGGATCCACGAAATTTATTTTCAATGTTTATGTGGATTTTCCTGTTTTAATATCTTCGCAGATTTGCGCGGCTAAAAACTTTCCTTTAATCTTGTACTTTTCGATAGCCATGTTTATTCAAAATAGGCCTACAAAAATCGCACTGATTTCAGTTTGTCTGCTAAATTTGTCTTATTTCACACTAGAAAGGATGAGTCTACTTTCTGTGCACCACAGCCTATTACCATAAAAACCGGGGGGCTTTTTTTGGAAGAGTTCTAGAGTTTCAAAAATTATTCATTGATTGATACTGCAATTTAGATTGTTCACATATATGTTAATTGTAGATGTGTACTCAATTGCCACAGAATCCGCATCAAAACTGTTTCTCTCATTCATACATGGCCTGGAGTACGTACTTGGGTCCTTGCTCTATGGATGGTTTGCACCACTCGGCCGGGATGCTCTGAGCTCACTGATCATCTACGCGGCACGATAATCTATCGACGACTTGGTGTGGCAAAAAGTACGGAATGGGAGTAAATCTGTTGCCTGTAAGTACCTACATGTGTACATTATTTCGAGTGTCGCTGATTGTCACTGGATTAATTAAAAGAAAAAAAAGGCCAGGGCGTGCGCTTGTCAGTCTTACAGGGCGAATGAAAGGGAAAGAATAGTGATGGGTGAGGGGCAGAGTGGGAAAGAGGAAAAGGAGGTTAATGATTTTCTTCATTATAGGAAGAAGTTTTATCTTGTAGATGAGTCCTTGCGTTCAATCTTAAGCAGAGGTGAAAACTCCAGTTGGCTAGTTAGTCAATTGGGGGATGAAAGGTGACCAAAAGTTTACTAAAAACTGTGTGGGGGTGGGTTGGGGGTTATACCCTCCACAAGGGTTTAAACCCATACCTAATGGTGTAGATGAAATAATGACATTGATCACATCGTTGAACATTTCTTGGCGTAAAATTGTATGCTTTACGAAAACGAGCTGTGATTTTTTCCCCTTGGGTTGGAGTTGGAGCTAGAGCGAGAGTCTCAACGGCACTGCGCCCCGAGAAAACACGACGTTATTAAACGGTTGAAGAATCCATGTTCAACATGCACTCTAGTAACGCTGGTACGGATAAATTGGTTCCCTGTCGTATACGGCAGGTAGCCATGGCCACCTTAATTAAAGTATGACGTCATGTCTAGGGTGTCCATTCTAATTTTGGATTTTGCACGCACATGTCCGTAGTTTAACAGTCAGCGTGATTAAAGTTGTATAAAACTTGAGATTATTTTGAAAAAAGACAAACTTTTTAGAAATTATTGTGACACACGTGGGGAAATCGGCAAAAAGAAGCTTTTTATAGGCCTACACGGCCAGTGTCCGTCATGTAAAGATTTTATAATCAACTTGATCTGGTAAACGCCGCTAATTTCGGAAATATTTGGAAAATTTCTTCCGTTTTAGTCACGTAACCGTTGGCGGCAATCCCTGACCTAAAAATCTCTCGAAATAGTTGGCATCTTTTGATGGGAACCAGACTACGGTACGGTCAGGCAAACCCATCGTGCGTCCATGGACATGTCTGTCGACTTTGTCCCCAAGTTATGGTCCCTGGTACCTGCAAGCTGGTGTCGTACCAGGTCCCGTGCTAGTGTAAACGTGGTTGGAAGAAAATTGTGACGGGGTTGCATATACCTGTGGCTGTGCTACACGATTCATCGATCGTAGTTTGTAAACGTGCATTTGGCCCACGGGGACCAAGCTGAAGTCGGAAATACTTTCAGCTCTTGTTTATCGGAATGTTGATTACCAATAAAAACATGTCAAATGAATCCTTTGGTTTCTTCTTTTTCTTCCCCCTTCCAGGCACGTTTGAGCAGGCAAGTCATGTATGACTACCTCCTAATTTTCACCTTTCTGCTCTTGTTGATGCATGTGACTTACATACTGACACCCGACTGTGTAGAAGAACATGGCAATGTGTTTGAAAGCACACAAGATTCGTCCGCAGAGAAACAAAGGTACATTATCCTTGGAAATGAGAACCATCTTGATGAGCCAAAACTGCAAACCTTGGGAGGCCAAAATGTTTATTACACAACGATTGGAGCTGGGAAAGAAAAACCTCTCCCACACCAAGAGGGCAGGGGACAAGATGACAAACGGAGTCTGAAGATGCCAAGGAAAATAACAAATGAACTCAGCAAGACCAAGTTGGCTTCACAAAATGCGCCGAGACAAAGAAATCGCACTGTAAAACACAGTCCAATTCTTCCTCATAACAAGAGCAGCAGTTTAAAAGCTGGAGGTAAACGCAATTTTATGCCAAGCATGCAAAACAATAGCAAAATGAAATCCTTCAAATTTAGTGATGAAAGTATAAACAAGACGAACAAAATTCCAGCGCGCTGCCAGAAGAAAATACTCATATACGGTGGGATCAAAGTAGTACGACAGTGGATAGAACTCCAGGTCTTGGTTGCTGCGCTACAACTCCAAGACAACGGCGATTGGTCCACTGAGGTGTCATGTGACCAGTGCACAGCGCAACTAATTCTCAGCAACAACATGGAGAGTTTACAAGGCAAAGACGCTATTGTATTCGGCATGTCTCCGTACTCACTGAAAGTGAAGATGGCAACTTTTCGCAGTTACGACTTCCATTCCAGCCAGTTGCTGGTTTTCTACGGGGCGGAGACGCCACTCCGGATGCGGAAGTGGGTCCCCGATGTTGGTAATTTGCCAGTCGACGTGGTGTGGTCGTACGGCCAAACTTCGGATATACACATCCCGTACGGTTACTATCAAGCCGGACATCCGATGGATGCAACTCGCAAGAGCCTACCAGCCAGGACGCAAGGGAAACGTAAGCTTGTTGCGTGGATGGGAAGCAATTGCGTCAAGGAGGTTTTCTGGCCCAGAATGAACTTTGTTCGTAAACTTCAGGCCCATGTGCCAGTGGACATCTACGGGAAATGCGGCAATTTGACCTGCCTACCCAGATTGTCGTCAAAATGCAAGGATCTCATGAACCAATATAAGTTCTACCTCTCCTTAGAGAATGCTGAGTGCGACGATTATGCGACCGAAAAGTTTTGGGAAACTGCGTTAGTGCACGGGGTTGTTCCTGTCGTGTATGGAGCGCCGAAGAGGTATTACATTCAAAATGCTCCCCCAAACTCCTTTATCTATGCTGGTGACTACAGGACTGTGAAACAATTGGCTGGTTACTTGATTAGCCTTGACCGCAGCCCGCAAAAGTACGCCGAGTACTTGGAGTGGCGCTACAGTGGCTCCGTTAAACAGAATTTCCCGAATTTGAAGCTGGCGCATTTTTGTGGTATTCTGCCGCACATAGGCAGTAGGGGAAACGGTCATGCCCAGCGCAGAAACCTCGCAGAAACAACGTGGTTCAACTCGTGCCGAAAAATGCGGAGAGGTGACAAGGCGTTCCGCCCCGCCGACATCAATGCCACAAACTGGGTACCGTGGTGACAGCAGACCCTCGATTCTTAATGAGTCCATTAGCCTTTTAGAGGTATGGCGGACCTAATGGGAGGGTACTATTTGGTTTGGGTAAAATCTTTTGTGTTTGCTCCAAATTTACCACATCAAGCAACGCCTTCCTATGGTGTCCGCCATACTTCTTAAAGGCTAATGATACTTATGAGTCCATGATACTTAATTTACAACTTTGGGAGGGCGACCAACAGGTATGCAAATCCCTTTTATTCATCACTTCTTTCGTATAAGTGATATCAGAATTTATACATATAATTACGCTACTTATTCGGCTTTGCTGACTAGTACCATACAGCCCCTTGAAATCAAGATATTACAATGCAACGTTAGGATGAATTACTAAGTGCAATACGTGCAAGCGTTGTAATTATCTTTTTAATGCTATACTGAAGTAGGAAGGAATACACTCTGGCTCACGACAAGTAAATTTTAAAAAAAAGTGTGATAGATGCATGGTTGTCATACGTCAACTCAATGGCTATTTCCATCGGGCACCACAATTTCATTCATATTATTTGTAGGCTGGAAAAACCTCCTGGGGAAAAAAGCCTTGCAAATGATAAGAATAACTTGGAATACTGGAAAGAAGTATTTGCCTGTCGGACTGCAGAGGGCACATCCTTGCCACGCCCTGGCTTAAATTCCAGAGATAGGTCAGTGCACCTCCGCGACGCGATATATTCCGCAGTAAGAACCTATTTTCGCTCTCATTCGCTACCCCACTCGACCGAACACAATTACATTTCTTAATGAGGCCATGACACTTAAATTATAACTTGGGGGGGGGCGACCGACAGGCATGCAGAGGCAGCAAAGCAGCAAAGGACCGTGTCCAATAGAACGCCCAATGTAGCAACTTGTGCCCAAATTGTCTCAGATTTATTTGTGGATGAAGCGATCTCTGTTCAATGTCTTTTTTAGTCTTCTTCAGTATAAATCAGATGGAAACCTTCCCAGGAAGACTTCTCAGTATGTTTTGTGCTGGT